TAACCTGGATAATGAGTATGAGATAATATATTATTATCTGAAAGCTTATAAACACACACAAAGCTCCTATTCTCCACCGTCAGTTCATTGTGTGTGTGTGTGTAAGCAGAGTGGTGGCTTGTCCCAGCAGCAGTCACGGATGGCAGGTGGTCTGTCAGAATGTATTGCTCCAGTGCCCCTCATGTACTTGCTGATCTGTCTGCTACAACCAGTCACTCTCAGCCTCACACACACACACGAACACACACCCCACTGTGGAATGTCAACAGAGAAGTGAATTTAGTGCATAGATGCTTCATCAGTCTTCCCAGGATAAAGAAATGTTACATAACAGTTGATATTCATCATCTGTGAAAAATAGATCCGGAGTAGAAATACCAACCAGGGCTCTGTGTTACCCTGTATTTTACAAAAAAAACATAATTTCTGTCACAGTAACAAAACAATCCATCATTGGGTTTGCAGAATAGAATATGTCATGTTTTGACCATTTTACTTTTCATAGTGACAGCCGCAGAGATAGACAGGAGAGGGGGTGACATGGGTTGGAATCAAACCCAGGCCACTGCAGGAAAGACTCAGCCTCAATGGTATGTGCTCTAACAGGTGAACTATTGGGGCACCCCATATGTTGCTTTTCAAATCCCACTTACAAAGACATATTTGATTCACTGAAAATGAAGATGCAAGTAGAAAAAGTCTGGAACCATGCCACTGCCAGAAAAAAAGGGCTGATGAGAGAGCTGAAGCTGAAGCTTACAGTAATGTCCTGTAAAATCAAACGAGTAAAAAGAGGTCAGTAAGGCTGCAGTCGGTGATCAGTTAGTGTGGGTTTCTCAAAATGAGTGAGTCCTTCCACATTACACACAGTCATAGTCACATAGTCAGAGGTACAGGTAATCCAGAGCTGTGTTAACATGAACTACAGAGTGCGGACTGACTGATCTCACTTTCATCTTTTCAGTGTGAGAAGCTGTTGCAGTGTGTTGTAGTGCCTTAGACTGAAATGGGCTCTGTTTCAGAGCAGCAGGCCGAGCACTCAGTGACCAGCTGGCCACCACGCAGCAGGAATCGCAATGAGTTGTTCAGGCCGCGAGGGGACACACCAGATGTTCAGCATGTTGTTGACTGACTCTCTGCTGTCTGCCCTCAGGCATTCTCTCCCTCACAAATTCTTTCTCTAGGTCTCTCTCTCAAATCTCTCTTTATTTTGCTTTGTGACCTTAAAATGATTGCAATTCTAGGGAAAACAAATGCAACAGTAATCAAGGAGAGAGATTTTTTTCTAAACTCTTTGGTAAACAAACATTATTCCCTAATTTTTACCAGTTTATCAGGTACGCATGTACAACTGAATGCAATTTGATGCAACCTTTTTGTTGAGACTGTAAATGAGGTGTTGATTCAAGACTGTTTTTACTCTTTTGCATTATACACTGCTCAAAAAATGAAAGGAAAAATCACACATAAGATATTAACTAAATAGTTCAAAGTTCAAAATTTTACTATAAATTGTATAATTTGTTGGGAACAAAAGACATTAACGGTTGATGAAAACCAAAATCACCAGCCGATTGAGGGCTGGATTCAAAATCACACCAAAAATCAAAGTAAAGAAACTGAAATCAAAGGCTGATCCAGCCTGCGTGACTTTCATCACGGCAACATGATGTGACCCAGTAGTGTGGTCAGCCTCCACCTGCCTGTATGCACTCCTGACAATAATTCAAATCAGCTTTATTGGCATGAATGTATAACAACAATATTGCAAAGCTACTTATAAATTACACAAGAACAATTAATTTCATACATTTCATTAAATAAGTAAATAAAACAGTAAAAGTTGTGTTTGTTAATAAAAAAAAAATATATATATATATAAAAATTCCAAACAAATAAATATTAAAAATAAAAGTAAATAAATAAAACAGTAAGTGTGTGTGTTAGAAAATGAAAATAATATATTAAAATAAATTTAAAAAACAGTGAGCGTGTGTATGCTTAAAAAATAAAACAATAAAAGAAATAAATGTGTGTTATTATAATATATTAAAAATTAAAATAAAATAAATAGATAAAACCGTAAACGTGTGTGTATTAATAGAAAATATAATTAGTAATTCATTTAAAAAAAATATCAAATATGAAATTTAAAAACAAAACAATTAATAAAATATCAAACAATCATAATAATAATAATTTGAAAATTAGTACAGTCTGAGTTTCCACTGGTTGTCCTCACTTCATGGCATGAGGAGACATATTTTGCAGCAATTATTTGACATTCTGGCATTTCTCCCAGTAAATAGGGGAGTTTCTGTGTGTCTAATTCGAATTCGGGGTATATTTGGGAAATGTTTGCAAAGTTTGCTGTCTTTTTTCTTTCTCTTTTTTTTATATTTAGGGCATGAGGTTAGAAAGTGCAGCTCTGTCTCTATATGTCCTCTGTCACAGTGGGAGCAGAGTCTTCTTGTGGTAGCCAGCTCTGTCTGTGGCGACCCTTTTCTATGGCCAGGCTGTGTTCACGCAGTCTGGATATTGTCAACATTTTTCTTAGTTTAGGACATTTTATTGTGCTCAGGTAATTTGCCAGTTTCTCTTTTTAGGACTGAAACACTGTAGGAGACATTTTGTGCATTATTTACACATGTGGGCTATATATTCAGGTTTTTTCATTTTGGGAGAAGGAATAGGCGTGCTTTTAAGAATTTATAGTTTATTTTATTTGTTGGACAAAAAACTCTCAGACTAATAGCTATTTTAATTTGTCTTAAAACATGTTTAGAGTGGACTTTAAGCTCAAAGACGGTGAATATGCAGCTGTAAACCAAATGAATGATTTGAAAGTCAGACCAGACCCTGCTTATGCACCTCCTGCCTCTGTAAGTGTTTCCTGGCTCCGCCGTCACTATCACCGCTATTTAGTCGTTAGTTTCTTTCTTCTGAATGTAGGGAGGACAGATTCGGGTTCAATCTCAAAACGTTTTGTTGGCGCTGAACTCGCCCCTGGTCCCCACGCGCTCATGCAGTTTCCGCTGATCTGCATTGATTTTTTGCAGCAGATGATTTTGTCGGCGAGGCAGCGTACTCCTGCGCATGCGTCCGCAGGCGGGTTTTCGGTGCTGATGTCGCGTTCTAGTACTCCATAGAAAACTCGTCCATCCAGGACTCATGGCTTAAGCATACGTTTTGTCCAGTGTTCATACTTAATACAAATTCTAACATTATACCCTACCACAGACATTTGTCAATCCCTTCCTCTCATTATTCCCATATAAAGTCCAAGTTGTTGTCATAAAATAATTCATATCCGTAATATTTAATGCCAGTATTTAAATGTCTGCCAATTGTAAGTGGGAGTTTCATTAGTGTCTACATACAGACGTCATATTTGGAGCTATCCAGGTTTATTGTACTTCTTTATTTTTGCAGCTGTTTATAGTGTATGAGAAGTCATTTATTGTTCACTTACATGAATCACTTTACTTATCTATTGTCTAAAACTAAAGTCTATGTGTGTCCCATGTCTTTCATTTATTGTGTTTTTGCTACTGTGTTATCATAATTGTAACCTAGCCATGTTACATCAAGTTTTTATTACTATAAAGAAAAAAAAAATCATACTAGCTATTTCCTGAACTCCCAAAAAAGCCACTGGCTCTTCCATCTGCTGAGGATGACCAGAATGAGCTTTCAAGCACATTAAGTTCATATTTTAAGATTGAAAAAATAATTATTCAATTCGCCAAATCACAACAACAGTTATTTCACAGCGCTTTTCATAAAAGAGCAGATTTAGACCATAAGCTGTGATAAAAGAAACCCAACACTTCCCACCAAGAGCAGAACTAGGCGACAGCAGCAAGGAAAAACTTTTAAGAGGCAGAAACCTCGAGCAGAACCATGGCTCAGGGTGGGCGGCCATCTGCCTCGACCGGTTGGGGTTGAAGAAGAGAGAGAGATAGCCATAAAGAGGGAGAGAGGGATGGAGGGGTAGGGAGGAGCAGCCTACACAATATACACACACAGATGTACAGACAGTAAAGGTGATGTTGGTACAGAATGAATGAATAATGGTACAGATACTAGTAAAATAGTAATGTTAATGATAATAATAACAATAATAATCATAATAGGACTGTCGAGCAGGAACACAGGGGCAGCAGGTGACCCGCAACCACAGATCCAGACTCCACAGCTCCAGGGCCAGAAAACTTGCAGGAAGTGATAGGAGGAGAGAGGAGAGGGACGAGAAAGCACAAGACTACGGGAAAGGGAAGAAGTCGGGGATGAGATTGCATACAGAGGGAGAGAAAGTAGAGGAGAGAGGAGCTCAGTGCATCATGGGAAATCCCCCGGCAGTCTAGGCTTTATAGCAGCATAACTAAGGGATGGTTCAGGACTCACCTGAGCCAGCCCTAACTATAAGCTTTATCAAAGAGGAAAGTCTTAAGCCTACTCTTAAATGTGGAGATGGTGTCTGCCTCCTGAACCCAAACTGGAACCTGGTTCCACAGGAGAGGAGCTTGATAGCTGAACGCTCTGGCTCCTAGTCTACGTTTGGAGACTCTAGGAACCACAAGTAACCCTGCATTCTGGGAGCGCAGTGCTCTGGTGGGGTAGTAAGGTACTATGAGCTCTTTAAGATAAGATGGTACCTGACCATTAAGAGCTTTGTAGGTAAGAAGAATGATTTTAAATTCTATTCTGGATTTTACTGGAAGCCAATGCAAAGAAGCTAAAACAGGAGAAATATGATCTCTTTTCCTGTCAGGCTATTTAAATAATAAATAGACTTAAAGCCTATTCCAACGTTGATCAATCGTTCAATATATTAGTTGATGTTATAATAATAAAATAGGTTACAATAAAGACGAATAAATATGCAATTGTCTAGGAAAGGAAAGAAAAAAGAAGTAAAACATAAGACAGCGGTGCTCTACTGTAAGGCGTAAACTCCTCACTTCCCCGACTGCACCTGAAGGCAGCACAATCCATGAACGCAGTCCCCGCAGTCCACAGCATACGCAGCCGCTACCTGCCAGGCGGAATGGACGTATCCTCCGGTGCTCCCAGCTTCACCCTCAGCCCAGCGGCGCCGCGGGAGAAGCCAGGCCCGACATGACAGTGCCGGGACGGGAGAAGAAAGCGCGCCAGCAGCCGCGGGTGACCGTCCGGCCGGAGGCGGTGTGGGCTGCGGGTCGCTACGCCGTGCTGGCCGCCCTGTGCGCCCTGTGCTACAGCAACTCTCTCCACGGGGAGTTGGTACATGACGATGTGTGGGCTATCGTCAACAACCCGGACGTCCGACTGGGCTCCAGCTTCAGAAACATCTTCAGCAACGACTTCTGGGGCAAGAGGATGGCGGACAATACGAGCCACAAGTCCTACAGACCGCTGTGCATCCTCACCTTCAAGTAAGTTCTCCCTGCTTTCCCAGCCGCGGAGTTTCACCTCAGCTGGAGCTCTGAAAACAGCCACTTTATGCTAGTTCACCCGGGGTGTTGGTGGTATTACCCCGGGGTGTTGGTGGTATTACCCCGGGGTGTAAGTCCAACCGTTAAACGCCTGAAAGCTAGTGAACGCACAATTAAGGCTGACGTCATACAGCCGGCCCATTATGGAGAGACGCTGCGTAGCCTAACAGTTAACTTCAGAATAATACAAGCTAAATGTTTCATAAAATAACCCCTTAAAGAGCGTTAAAGCGGTTTCCGATATGAAGTACCACTAGGTGCTGTTGTTGCTATAAAGTCACAGATGCGCTGAAAGAGTAGCTCATGATAGCAGTATTAGAGAGATGACCTTCGTTCAAGCCTCTGCTCCCATTTTCACTGTACTGAGTGAGAGCAGCTCAGCCGGCCAGCTGCACTTCAACTTGTCCCAGCACATTCTTTGACTCTTCTTTGAGGTTTAAGTATTAAATGAATTCATATGACACGGAGCCAAAAATACACAGAGAGAAGTGTTTATGTAGGAAGTTTTTACGCAGCTTTGTAGGAGTTTCATGAAAGTAGAGATGGAAAAGTTCTGGGAACAGCGTTTGAGGAGGGGAAACAGGCTCTGCAGCGCTTTGCTCCAAGAGGGCGTGTTTGGAGGAACCAGGCAAGCATCCAGATCAAGGTGGGATTGTGTTATAATGAATGATATTATGTTGCAGTGATTGCATGAGAAAAAGAGGACAAGCTCACATGGTGTTCCCAAATGATAGAGGAGTCCAGACTCAGCCTGCTGATGCAAAAGTGAAATGGTTGCTCTGAGATTTCCACCTTTCTTTTTTCCTGTATTTGTATAATTCAATGGAGGTTGGAGTTTTGTGTGTAATACTGTGGAACATCTCCTAGGTCTCCATCTTATCTTTGTCTCCAGACTAGGGATCATTCATTGTTATTGATATTAATACCCTTATTGAGACTGCTTAACTAGTCTAGTCTTTATCATACCATTATCGATACTTTACTTGTATTTGGTGACGCTTATTTGGTAAGGCCAGACCCAACGGGCATGAGGTAGACCTGCATGGTGTGCGATGACCTTGTTATATACTGAGATGACATATGACTTGCGATAAATAAACAAACATTGACGTATGTGGAACAGTGGTTCGGTGGATAGCGCTGTGGCCTCACAGCAAGAAGGTTGTGGGTTGTCCCGGCCTTTCTGTGCGGAGTTTGTATGTTCTCCCTGTGTCTGCGTGGGTTCTCTCCGGGTGCTCCGGTTTCTTCCCACCGCCTACAGACGTGCGGGTTGATTGGTGACCCTGAATTGTCCTTAGTGATTGGTTGTTTGTCTATGTGTGGCCCTGCGATGGACTGGCGACCTATTTTACTCCGCCTTTCGCTTGATGTCAGCTGGGATTGGCTCCAGCGACCCTGTACGCAGGATGGATGGATGAAGTTTGCATATTAACTGCCTGGGAACAAAGTTGGTTGTGATGCAACAGAGCAGCAAGTATGGTTGGGCGATGTTTCCAAAATTTCCATTGGATTATGTCTAAAATGAGGGCAGCAGTAGGTTTATGTGCATGTGTTCTCGCACAGACTTCACTTGGTAAAATAAATTGGTAGACTATTAACTTATTACAAGTCGCAGTTGATATTTTATGGAGCTGTAGCAGCAGAGGTGGAGCAACATGTCTCAGCAACATTGCTCTTGTGTCCACGAGCATGCGATGCACCTTAGAATAGCTTAAAACTGCAGTGTTTTCCCGGTTTAATGTGAGCTTTAGATGAATGTTTTGGTGTTGGTCGGGGGGTTTGGGGGTGATGAAATGAAAAATATGTAATTTCACATCATATTGGGCCATTATTTTCACCATATCTCTGAACAAATAGTTGGAAAAGCTAGAGCAGATAATAAATATAAAACAGCCAAAGATCAGTCTACTGGAGGAACTACAACCTTTAGATCTGGAGAAAGTAATTTGGTTGGTTCTGTTGCTCCAGTGATTTTATAGTGATGGCACAAACCTAAGCCTTAACGGCAGGAAAACCCTGTTAATATGACCTCAGAATCATTATAGATACAACTGTTCATGCATTTTACAGCTTCTGACATTTATCTGTAGACATTAATATAAAAATAGGCAGCATGACAAATCTCCTTCCTTCTGAAGTGTGTTTTATTTGCACATTAAAATCCAAAAACTCCTCCATTAGCTTAAAAGGACTAGTTTGCATCACTAATTAGTTTTACTAACCTCAGCTCCTCCAGTCACCTCTGTCTTTTGTTTTCCAAAACCACTTTTTCAGACTGAAAACTGAAATAATTTAGTCAGTCTGTACAGGACAGAGCTGCAGGCTACGTCAGTTTAGTCTAAGTTTGTACCTGATGTTCTCAACATTGGACAAGTAGCGAGCCGAGCATTGTGGGCTGCCGTGCTCACACAGTGTGCGAGTGAAAACATTTGTAGCGCATAGTTTAATCATGGGGAGTTTTAGTAGCGGCGGTCATGATTCAGCAGCGGCTGAATGGATATAGAGGTAACACTGCATAGACTAATTTACATAAACATACATGTATGATAGTCAGTCAGACAAAGTCTGTTACAGTGAGAGACAAACATTGTTCTTTTATTTCACTATACCTGTTTTTGAAGCATATCATATAGTGTAGCATCTATTTTTGCTTCTTTTGTCTTATTGTTACAACTTACCCCAGCATGTGTTACAACCTACTGGGGAACACAATGCATTTGACATCAACTCACAAGGTCTGTGACATTCTTGTAGAGGATTGAATGGGTGCCATTTGTAGTGAACAAAAGTGGGAATGTTGTATAAAAGTTTGAGAACTCTAGCTATAAAACATATTGCTGAAAATGGAGCAGACGGGGTGAGAGAGAGGCGGGGTAAGCCGGGGTGTTTACTTGAGGTGTGTGAGTGTGTCATAGTGGGGAGAAGAGAATTCCGAGGCAGGTGCAAAGCAAACTTAAAAACTATAATAAGAATGTTCGTGCATATTAAAACCTGCTTTCAAAGGGTGGTATAATGTGAACATTTAAAAAAAAAATGCTGGGGGGGCGGAGGTTTTCCAACTCAACGTTGTGATGTCTGTCAGTCATCGCCAATGAACGATGGCATCGTCTATCGGCCCAACCTTAGCAGCAAGCGGGAAACCAGGTGCAGTTCATAGTTTGCAAAGGTTACGCACGGCGTTGGCAATGTGCTTGGCGCTGATGCTGAAGATGTCGAGCTGCTCTTGGGGCTTTCCACTGTGAAGAACGCCGCTCACTGTCAGCTGGGTCACAAAAATGCCAGGCTCCTGGCCCACTGCTTCGCAAAGACCACCCTCCTTGTAGTGGTCTTACTGTTAACTGCCTGGTTGTTTTTAAATTATTTATAGGATTGGAATTTAATATTTTAAATACAACTGTTGTTTCTAGAGCAGCAACATTAATGTCTACAACAGCAAATAAACTCAATATCTGACATCACAATACTTAGTGACGTTTATAAAGAATATAAAACTCAGTCAGCATCCTCCTCCTCCTCCTCTCTGCTGTTATTCACTGCATGCAGGTAACATTATCTGGTAAAAGGAGGAGCGGGTGTTTTGTCTCAGCCAGCAGCTGAGTTTACAACAATGTGCTGAATTTTAAGACTACAAACCAGTCTATGGTACAGACAATCAGCTTTCTATTTAGTTAGTTTGTAACATTTGGCTAATTGTGACTTCGTGTGACAGTAAGCATGATCAGTACGTGTACAGTAAATGAGTTACCATATGACCGAAATCTATGCATTTATTTGTTATTTCTGACCATTTGCAAAATATTATAAAAATATTTTCATAACCTGGAGGAGTAAAGGTATAAATTAGTGTATTAATAAATATTATAATATTAAATAGTACAATGTTAGTATAGTAATATATTTACAGGTTACACTTGATTTGGATTATCTGCCTACAGATAGTTTATTAGTTGAGATTCAGCTGTTTCACACACAGTAAAATGTAAATGTGACAGTACCGGTGAATACTGGCACACTTCAAGCACAAACGGCTTGTATATTGTGAGAAATGGAAACAGGAAGTCATCTCTGCTATTAGCGCGAGCTTCATATCAGAGCGTTTAGGCTCAGGCAAACCAATGCAGCTGGTTTATTAATCCAGCGCCTGCTGCATGTGTAAAATACAGTGGCTGTGGATGAGAGGAGAGGTAACTGCTGGAAGTCAAGACGTCGTAGTTAAGTATATGTTTTGCTTGCTTAACAGTTGTTTGATAAATGGCTATTAAAACACATTCAGAGAATGATAGCTGTGCTTGTATAAAACATACAGGATGAGAGACTGAAGACAGAGATGATTAAACCTTTCTACATGTTTACCCTACACACAGGTGTGTGGAGATAGTAATGTATTTTTACTTGCGAAGGTTTTATTGCACGTACTTACAGTAACAAGTGTAGCTGTCGGCAACTCGAGTAGTTTGGAGCTAAGTTTAACTTAGCCTCTCTCTCTGCTGGCCGCTGTGTGTGTCTATGTAGGAGCCGTCAGAGAGCAGCAGAGGCTGCAGCCTGATGATAAACAGGGCCTGTTTGATACCTTGCTTTCTTATCTGTCGCGTTTCAAGTTAAATCAGATTTGATGCTCGAGACATACTAAATATACTATAATGTAATGTATATTATAGGACACGCTTGTGTCGATAGCAGTATCTGTAAGCTCGGACCTTTGTTGATTTGGGTTTGAGAAATTTTGGAACCGGGTCCTTTATCAATCCCCATCCCTACTCCAGACCAAGTGTGAAGGAGAGCGCACATTCCTTTATGTCAATTACATTTCTACCACACCAGCAATTAATTTAAAGTTCAACAACGGCTGTACTGCCAACACAGAGGTCATAGGTCAGGCTGAGGTACAGAAGAGCAGCCATGCAGTGTGTTGCTCAGGGGCACTTCAGCAGCAGCAGCAG